GAGCTGGATGATCCCAGTGGGTCACTTACAACTCAAAGCATATTCTGTGATTCAATGAAATAAACTTTCCTACAAAGATAATTAATATCATTCAGATAATCAGATAATCTCTCTTGTCCAATTCCTTTTCAGATATGGACAGTGGAAATGTTTGCCACAGGTAAGTTTTACACTTCCAAGGTAACAGGTCTCACTTATATATTACAATGCGACCTTGCCCCAGTCACCCAGAAAAGTACAAAACAAAAATTAAACAAACAAAAGTAAAAATCACACCACCAAACTAAACAAACTAAAACACAAATAAAAACCCCACCAACCAACCAAAAACCCACCMAAACCCTGCCAAGTCAGCCTAAAGTGCTGCTCATACAGCACAAATTAAAAACCTGAAAATGCTCGAGTTACACAAACCACTGAGCAATAAAATCCAAAGCAATCCCTAACTCCTTCAAACTGAATCTCTGAAATTAACAATTTTCTGTACTGCCTCTGGAACTGTACTCACCCAGCATACTGCAGTCACCTGTACCTCAACTCTCAAAAATGTGGTAATTACAGCTTTCATCACTTCACCAACCCTCCAGACCCAGACATTTTACAGCAAGGACCAGTCCCATGAGAGGGGACACTCAGATGTGACTTTTTGGTATAAAAAAATCTAGTCATTTATTCAAATTCTGAGAYTGACACATCAAAATTCCTTAACCTTGGCAAGGCTGCAATGTCAGTACCTACACTTTAAAACTAAGTTATTTTTAAAACAGCAAATCATCTTTTGACAGGACACTTCATCACAGATCTGAATTCTAATAAGTTTTTTTTAGAAATAATCTTGAAAACGAACCCAAAGCAGAAACTGCTTCTAATCATTACCAGTTTCAGTACTAAGAACTGTTCAGTGACCCTGAAGTAGCTATATACGAAATAAAGCACAATTTATACATACGTATATATGTACATATATGATTTATCTGTTTTAGCATTAAMAAGAAAAAAACAAAAAACAACTTTTCACCACAATAAGCCACGCTTTCATATAACAACCAACTCAAWTTTTAAATTATGTATTTCTCTGTCCATCTCTGCAAGTAAAATCACAGCAGAAAAAATATCTAACCAGTTCACAACGAACACACAACTTGGCAGAGAAGCAGATTCCAGAAGTTTTTATCTCCATAAAACGGATTCAGTTTTAGGCACAGGCACAAMCTTCTTACCAAGAACAGATTTGCCAGAGGGAGTTTATTACCTGGGTTGCACTGCAGCTCTGTCCCGAGGGCTCCGGAGAGCACTTCCTCTATTTTCTGCACTATCTGATCACTTTGACAACTCCCAGCAGCTCCAGAGGCTTCAGAAGGCCCAGCTTGCTCAGCTGGGATCGTGTCACCATTTGGCTGGCCTTCCACCTTTGCACTAACCAAAAATAAAAATCAACTTAATGCATGCGATTTTGAGCCTTTTTTGAACATTTTTTTGACATACACACACATATATTAAATCCAGCCCTTTAGACCAATAYTCCAGCCTCCTGCGGAAGCCGTGCTCTGAGGGAAACATCTACCTTTGGATTAATTTTYACTAATTCAGCTCGGACACTCTGTAACTGCTGAAGCTGAAGCGCAAGGAAGAAAAAAACACATTCTGGAATGTGCCACATCCCCCGTGCTCGTAGGACCTTGTAGGGGTTCCCTCCACAAAGTAAACATCCACAACTCGCTCTCCTCCAGCTTTTCCCAGGTTTCTCTTGTCTTACGACAGAGATCCGGCAAATTTGGCCGTAAATCCGACAAACCATATAGGCGCCCGCCCCGACGCGACAGCAGCACCGAAACCGGGGCATAGCAGGGGGACGCGTCCCCCCATCGTCCTCTCTCGCCCCCGGCACCGTGTCTTCCTCAGGGCGTCCGCACGGCCGCGACCCCTCCGGCCCCGCCATGTTGCCGCCGACACGACCCTCAGGCCGCGTCCCGTCTCTCTCCGCCCCGCGCCCTTCCCCGCCGCTCCCCACCGCCTCGTTACCCTCCGTGCTGCTGCTGCTGCTCCTCCTGGATCTCCCGGAATTTGCTAACCACAAAGGACCGAAGGATCTCCTCGATATTCGTCGCCATGACACCCCCCCCTTCCTTCCTGCCCCGACGCGAGGCCTCCAGCATCCCACAGTGCACCGCGGCCCCGGGCGCGCGCTGACGTCCTCACTGCAAGCCCCCTCGCGATTGGCTGCCTTCACTGTAAGCCCTCTCGCCATTGG